CTGTGGCTGACGATGCAAATCAGCTCAGTCATAACTGAACTCATGAAGCTACGACTGAAAGCAGCCTCAGATTTCATATGTTCCCTGTAAAGGCCGATAAACCTGATCAGCATTAATCAACAAATCCATGAGAAATCATTTAACACCAACGACACCTGCTGTACATCACCGTAACCAGCACCACACCTGCAAGGATGAACTTGTTTCTCAAATAACAGACGTTTGTAAATATGTAACAAACATTTATTGACTTTGAAGTAAAATACATGAAAACAAGAGTGTTTGCATGTTTCTCAGTTCATTCAGCATCTCTGCTTTTCTGACTCGTACTCAGGAAGTTCACAAATGTTTTTCATTTTATACCCACAGTCACTCATTTGTAACTGGTAAACGGTGATCACATGGTACCTTTCAAGTACAAGTCATCCAGTCATACACACAGTCATGTCTGAGTACTTTCTAATACTCGAACACTGGGAGGAGTCAGGGTCCAAGCACCCATCTGACTGGACCCATTTAACCATTATACCAGTACAAGCAGATCCAGTTTTGTTACGCAGTAAAGTTAACATTTGCAAATTAACGTGCAAATTTTACATTTGTATAAATTATGAAACAAAGTGGTTTAATGTAGATCTGAAGTGCTTTCACTTTAAGTCACAGAACTAACACGCAAGCTAACGTCCGACTTTAACATCAGTGATATTTGTTACAGTCATGTTGTGTGTTAAACAGTTAAACAGTTAAACAGTTGACAGAAGCAGTGCTTTTATTTGTTGTTGTTTTCTTTGTTGTGATATTTACAAACTGCTCTTCCTGTTGAATAAATGCCCCGGATCATAAAAATAAAGTGTGGATATAAGGAGTGCCACGGCCCGGCTCTGTTCGGACGTCGAGGAGTCCGTTCCACGCTGTGATCACAGAGGCCATCCCTGCCATCTGTGATCATACTTCCTGTTCCACGTCTTTGTGTTTGGTTCAGTGTCTGTTGCTCTCGGTGTTCGCTCGCTCCTGTGTCACTTCTCTTGTATTTAGTCTGTTCACATGTTTCCGTCTCCAGAAGTCTGTTTGTTTACCTTTTTGTCCATGTCGTGCGTTTCCTGTTTTATTTTGATAGTCCCTGCTTCTGTGTGTGTTACACTTTGGCTTTCTTGGCTCATTAGTGGATTGTGTGCCCAGGTGTTTTCTCTCCGCCCTTACCTTTCCTTTGTCATGTCCTTACACCCAGACTGTGCTGTGTGTGCTTCTGTTCTCACTGTTCGGTGACTTTTGGGTTTCCTGCATCCTAAAGCTTCAGCAGTAAAGCTGCTGTTTCAGGGTTGCTGCTGGGTTGTCACACAGCAACCACGCATCACTTCCATGACCATCTCTGCATTTGAACTTGTGTATTTGTGATGCGCTTCCAGCATCCATTAATAATCATTAAGAAAAGGTTGAGAGTGAAAAACCACAGGAAATGTACTTTATTGTTTTATAAACATCCTATTTGTTTGATTATCGACACCAGAAAAACTGAACGGGAATCATCCGAATGCCGTAGGACAGTGATTTCCCAAAATGGGAATTTTGCTGTCTTCGGAGAGAGCTCGAGACACTGGAAACATGCTCCTGTCGTGAAGCGCCACATCTTTCATGCTGGATGGCTTCGGCACTATCCAGACCAGCTGAAACTGACTGGATAATGATGTGAGACCAGTCATCAGATGGTGTCGCTCTGTCAGAACGTAACATCGTGTTGCCTGCAGGGAGTGTCTGCAAACAGTGCATCGTGGTCAGAGATGTGCAGGAGAGCAGAGTGATTGCATTTCTCCCCCAGTGCAGTGTTTAAGGGACTGCGTGTTATGTCTGCCAGGCCTCCTCTCTGACAGATCCGACTCCTGCAATTTGAGGACCTCACAGAAAGCAGTGAAATTAGTTGGCCAGTTAATCCTGTGGATCAGGCTTTTGTGACGAGGGCAGGTTGGGCTCTGTTTGGTGAGGGCTTAGCTCTCTGGGAGCAGCTCAAAATGATCAGCAGGGTTTAAAAGCAGGCTCCGAGGGACCACCGACCAAATGAATAAGCTGAAGCTGCTATCTGGCAGTAAACTGACACTGGGTAAGCTGTCACTTAAGGCCAAAATCTATAACACAATACGGACGAAAGGGCAGCGACCTTTAGAGTAATGCAGACGGACAATAGGAGCAATCGGACTGATGATGTGCCGACATGACA